TTTCCAAGGACCAAGATAGTAGAAGTTTGTAATAGTGTGTATCCTCGGATATTTGTTTCTCTGTTTTGAGCCAGACCAGTCATCCTAAGATTAAGTGTAGATCCGATAGACCAACTTCATGTATACACTTACTCTCATTCGCACCGGAAACGCACATTTCACGTTAGTGGGTACACATTACTTTTCTTTGTAGTTTGTCATTCACTGCTACCATGCAAACAAAGAAGGGGTGACGAAAGTGAAGTGGGGAGAGTGGGGATGAGGTGATGTGTTGAAATAAAGTCAAAATTGTATTTCAAAATAAACTCAGCTGAATTGAAACAAACCCATAATTACCAGTACTGTGAGATGTTACTCTGGTGCCCGGTTACGATATAATATAACTGTTGTGATCATGACGCGTGAGAGGGGCAATACCCTTTGAACAACACCCACATCTACACCGCGTCCCCCACACACACCCTCTCTTAACGGCCTCTAAATCCCAGTAAACGCAAACATACAAGACATGGATAACAACTATGCAGCCGTGGTAAAACACACAGCATCGGCCTAGCTAAGTCTAAAAGCAGAAGGTGTATACAAGGTCCATTTGCACAGTAAGCACTTAGTTTGCAGAGCAAATGATTAAGTGTTTAATTTCTCATTTTCTAGACCACTTTTTCGCCTCCTGCATCGCCAAAACGCTCTTCACTATCATGAGTAGAAGCTTCCGATTGATTCTGTTTAGAAACGTGCTAATGACGTGATTCTGTGATAATGCTATATCAGTGACGTTCGATTCTTGTAGATTACTGAGAAAGAAGTAACCAGTGACAGGTTCTGTTTGATCTATTTAGGTTGGGCTATGACATAAACAAAAATCGTTCCTATACGCTAAAAATATAAATGCATTATATTTACAGTTCTCTTTTGCATTTTTTTGCATGGGTTACAAAGACATGTTAAAAGTGAAACTAATATAAATATAAGGGATAATCTATTGCTATATACAACAAAGAAGTCGCAAACAGATAATACTTTATTAAAAACAAAACAATGTCGTAGCTGAATGTTAAGGAAAAGGTTACAGAAATAGACTCGTTGAGGGAAGAGACAACTAAAAATTAAGTGAAGATGGTATAGAAAAAACTTCTAATGTTTTTATTAGAATATAACAAACATCAAAAGTTCAAACGACCCGATAACTTTAATACATCAGCCGAAAATAGGCCCGAAACCCCAGGGCAGTTTTTGCATTCTATTGTCTTAAAATCTCAGTCGCAATTAGTTATCTTTTACAAAGATTTTGTTTTGTAGAATATTATCAGGTTAACGATAATTATCCGATATTATGCCTCTAATATCTGCCAGGGGAGGCTGCCCATTCGTATCGATCACCTTCATGTAATAATAAGACAAAGATTGACTTAAGAATACAAATTTTCCGATCCCAGATAGTACAATGGAGTCAGAAGCCTTAAAACGCCAGAGGCTATTTATCAACTTCTTTCAGCACAGCTTTCTATGTCCCACCCGCCCTTAATTGATATCCTACGGCTTACATAAAGTGGTTGCACTTATTAAGAGCATAACGGACCCCAAAAGCCATTCTTGGTAACTGTCTCCGAGTACACTAATTAGTGCCCGATTGTCTCAGATTTTTCATAAGTCGGGCCTCAAAATTACTTTTTGGATTCTGTTGTTGTGTACAATTATGATGGGAACGGATTGTAGACCGCATTCCGCACTCTTTTTAATAAACCAAGATAATATTCAAATGACGAGGGAAAAGGTATTAAGTAATTACCTTCTAACTGCTTTGGAGTGTAAACCCGAAAATCTATATTAATATCCAGGCAAGCTCATGACTTTGTTATCTTGAATTATCAAATCCATTCAGATGAATAGACTCGTATTTATGCTGACCTCGATAGATCTAAATGGGTATCACAATGGGTCAACTTTGATTAAGATCTGTGACGTGATTGTCTCTGGAGATATATTTTGTTATCCTGTATCTTTGCTTTTGTGAAACAACAAACATTCCCAGCATGACAACAATGTTAACTTTTCGAACCCAGTACCTCCCAGTTACGAGACCACTGCTCTAATACTGTGCCACCACGCCTCCTCTAAAGTACTTAAATTACATATTTGATTTAATTTGTTTTCTTGGTATCAGGCTACGTGCAACAATGTAAATAATGTCGAACTATACGGTTATAATGGAAAGCAGACTACTGTTTGCGTTTATTCATTCATATCTTAATCAAGGAAACTCAATGATATTGGGCATCAAAAGAAGGATTAATAAAATATTCTCTCATTGTTTTTGGTTTTTAATGTGACAAAATAAACAATATTGATGTCAGCATTAATCTTTTGATCTGGGAAAGAATTGTATTAATAATGATAACTTTGATTATTTTTTACCAAAGTTTTATTTGGTGACTAAGCTACCATTAGAGTATGTTATTTTATAGATGATAATTTGTTCTCACCAATCATTAATCTGTTTTATATTCACTGGATGACATTCTCCGTTTACTATACTTTCTCTCTATTTTACCTATCTCGCTTTTTTCCCCTCCACATCTGTCTCTCGGTCTTTCTCTCCAGTTCTCTTTCTCTCTCTCTCTCTCTCTCCCTCTCTCTCTCTTCCTCTCTTTCTCCCTCTCTCTCTTTATCGCCCTATCTCCCCTTCTCTCTATCTCTCTCACTCTTTTATCATTTGTTTGTCTCTTTGTATCTGTATAACCTTTTATTCTTCACTATCTCTCTATATCATTGTCAATTTTTACTTTACATTGTATTACCTTTACACACCTCTCATTCATCTTTATATACCGAATATCTAACTCTGTGATTAAAGACATAAAGTCAGCCATGAAGTATGATGATAATCAATTTATTTGTATCACATTTCTTTACCACCGAGTCATGCAGTGTCTAAGTTTTCATAAAGATGCAAAAATATACACAGTTACAAACTCAAGATATTCGAGATAAACGAAATTACACAAATAAAATTGGACAATGTCTTCCTTCTGAAATACTACCACGTTGGATATTGATACGTTTTCGATGTTCATGATATTTGATATCTGTCTTGTATCTGTTTTGTATCCCCAGTAGAATTTGAGAAATACAATACAGTTTCATGAATACATAAAAATGCATAAACCAGACAATACTATAACGTATTAATGAGATGCATGAATTTGTAAGACCTTCCACCAGTAAATGCTTTTTAGGAAGGGAACATCTCGTTGTGTCGAGGACAAAGGATTTCTAAGCACCCAAATAAATTGTAAGGGCTTTTATAAATCATTTATGTAATAACATTTGAATTAAAAGATGTTAAGACTCAAGTTATGAACAAGAAATACTAGCATTGTTTCAAAGATATCCATTTCTTTCCCACTATTCTATCATTTTCTGTCAGGATCCATTAGCATTGGATGCCATAAATACATTTTATATATTTACATATATATACATACAAACACAAAAATACAAGAACTTTGATTACTAAGATATAAAAAACAATATTTACAGGATGATTGTCAAAACGCATTCTCGACCAAACAGCGTGATACCACACGTAACTTTGGAAAACATATTCATACAAAATATAGAGATTGTCAATTAAAACAAAATTGTTAAGATATTACATTAATATAACAATACTAAACCAGATCTTCAGCAAGTAAATTACATTTAACTACGAATGTCTCTAACTTTAAAACCTCCAGCTCAGCAATAAATCATTAAACTTTAAGGTGATGACATTATTGAAATTGTTTTGTCGTATTATGAACATCACGTGATAACTCCAGAGGAAGGGGAATGGTATAGGGGGATGGGGGGCTAGATTTGCATGGAAAGGATGGGGGAAGGAGAGATAGAGGGGTTTAACCAAGAGAGTGGAAGTAGAAGGAGGGAGAGAGAAAGCGAGAGAAACGGAGAGAAAGAAAGATAAGAAGAGGGAGAGGGGAATGGAAAGAAAGAAAGAGACAGTGGAGGAGAGAGGGGCAAGAGACAAAGGGGCAGTGGCAGGGGGAGAGGGATGAAGAAATAGTGGTACGGGAGTGAGAGGCACCAAGACATAATAGCTCATTATGGAGGTAAATCATCTAAGTATAGTATACACACTGATACTGATATTCACGGGAGGAAGAGAGAAACAGTGAGTGAGGGGGCGGGGGGGGGGGACGGGAAGAAAATCAGAGGGGATGACATATTCAACACAATAATATGGAAAATGTTTTTAAACTATGATTGCCTTTTCATCTCCACCTAAAACCTCCTCATGGATGATGTTTACTTCCACCAAAATACATCCATTTACATCCTTGTTTGATCAACGATTACCTTCTGTAGTAGTAAGAGTCTTACTGGTGGTTACATAATAAGTATTTTTTTCTCTGGTATTTTTGTGAAGGGATTGTTGCATGATTATATACCCCCAGATAATATACGCATGGCGGAACCAATCCGCATGGCCGTTAAATCCCATCACTTACGGGGATAAGGCTTAAGGTAGGGGGAGCTTAACCATCATCATGCATTTCTTATGACCCTCTTCAATCACCAGATCAAAGAACGGGGGTGATTAAAGAATTTCGAGACTCGACCTCGAGTGACGGCTAATCTTGAATAGCTAAGACCAATATTCCTCCAGAGTACTTCCGAAAAACAGATTTGTTTCCTTCACCATAAGTACGGACCCATTTCCATTTTATTCGTGCATGGATACTTTCTGGACTCCTTCCCTGGTAACAATTGTTGTTATCGTTATTTTTACTGCGCTTTTTTAAAGTCTGAAAAACAGAGATCCATAGCAACTGAAATTGCCCACAGAGGCACATAACATACCAGTACATGTTATATAAAACTTAACCCGGCTGACTTAAAATAATATCAATTTTGCAAATAATTAACATCGCATGAAAGAAGCACATCAAAACAGTCAAAAGGTGAATCCTATACTTGATTATTAGTAACTAACGTATTGCACATAACCGTAAGCTGAATACATTGCCAAAGTGAAGTGGATTTTTCGAATATCAATTTGCAAACAATTTGTGAAAATTGTGAATTTCAATTTCACAATTTGTGTTAGGTGTTGAAAGTGCAAGTCGAGTTTAAATAATGGCCTCCATTGCGTTCATTTAAACTAGAAGTTAAACAATGTATGTGACATATACAATCCACTGCTTCATATAGTAATTCACGATAGTTAAAGACATTGATATCCGGGTATGAACTTTTCAATCAAGTGAATCCATTTCATTAAAGAATGAAATATCATTTTCCGAACAATGTTATTGAAGCAGGTTGAATCTTTTGCTTCATCAATGGCGAGGAGACCCCGATGGTGAGCGGGATAGCGAGAGGGGGCTAGACCGAGCGCTACCCGATGGGGAATCCATGTCTAACCCTTCCGAATCCGATTCATCGTCCGCAGAGTACTCGGACGTTTGCCTCATAAAGGGGTTCACGCTTCCCCGTCTGTGTGCGGACTCTCCGTCGCAGCGTCCCGTAGCGAACCGACTGTCTTCGTTCAGTGATGGCGGGTGCGAGGATTCGTTGGCAGGTTGCGATGATGGGCGAGTGGTGGTGGTGGTGATAGAGGTCTTGTCTGGTTTGGACCCGTACTCGGTTTTATATGCTTCGGAAGCCCGCTTGGCAGCCTCTTGTTGCTCCCGTTTCTGCTTCCTCCACTTAGCTCGGCGGTTCTTGAACCAAACCTAAAATACAATTGAAAAAGTAAAAAAAAGAAAATATAATCTAGGGTTCAAATTGTTACCTTTACACCTTTATCATGCGTAAAAATAAAATTTGAAATGCAACCTGATCTTTCAAATTGTGTATTTGTCAACATGAGTGATGTTGCTGAAGTGTTACAAAAGAAAAAAAAGGATTAGAAAGAGAGTGAGAATTTTTTTTACAGTAGGCATACGTCCATTTTTATCGTGTCCATCAATCAAATAATTTATTGTTTCTATAGGATATAGATGCAATTATATATTTTAAAAAAAATTACGACATAAGCAATCACAAAAGTGATTTAAAAAAGTAGGATTTTAAATCATCATAATATATTGTAGCCCTCTATCCCCTCCATTTACCTCCGTTGTGTTTCAAACAGTGTTAAACAATAATAAACGTTTGACCAATAATATATGGAAATAATATTATGTCGTGCAATACATCCTTGATAATCACGAGAGGGATTTTTTTTTTATCAAAGAGAACAGATTTTGAGAATTAATCATATCAATTATCTTGTCAATTCTTTACAAAATACATCTGTTCATTATTTTTCTGAGCCCAAACCGGAATAACCCTCTATCTTCTTCAATTCCAACCACCCTCCTAAAGTTTCAGAGGAAAAGAATGGTGTGAATTTTTAATATTCGAAAGGGGCGCTATGTCATAAAGCCTTACAAGGGTAATTAGTCTAAGTTTCGTTTGAATTGTATTTTCCGTGTCCTTGTGGCATTGTTGCCCCCTTCATGGCAAGTAAACAACCCGCATCTTGTTCCCCTTACGATTTTGGCGAATGTAACTGCTGACATAGGCCACCACCATGCATAGCAATATGAAAGGAGGTAAAAATGTCACCCCCTTAGGTTTCGATACGTATCCGAATTCATTAAAATGATGATTTATAAGTACTGTTATTGATAAATCAAAAAACTATATACAACATTTGCACATAGGAGCATGCAGACCAGAGCACTGCATTGCTTGCTTTATTATAAAAATGAATCTAAAGAAAATATAAAGGATAGATATTTTCCTTTCAAAAGATGACGTTTATGATTGCTGAATCTTTTAAAGTGAATGTTTTGCAAGCAATAAGTATCTCAACAAACTAGAGAATGGAAGGTTTTGGGCCACATATTCCCTCAAACTGACCATGATTTTCTATTTAACTTCACTTTTTCTAATTTCCATGCTTTGTTGCTCTTAAAATAACAACAATCAAGACATACACAAAATCCTTTCTATCGCTTCTTTCAATATCTGAAAATTATTCAAGTCATTTTGAAGATATTGCCCACCCAACTCCATCTATCTCCTGGTTATGAGGCAGGCTCGAAGATTAAAGGATAGAAAATATGCTGATCCTTTAAGTCGGACGCGTATGTGATAGTGGAATACCCCATAATCTCGCTACAAACATGGAAATTCATGATTAGTGTTTATTCGAGCAAACCTGAAGAAAATCTCCAAAATTAGGCATAAGATGTTGTTTTTTTTCTTCTTCTCATCTTCCAATAGATCGTAAAAGCTCTGGGAGCTTTCTTTCTGCTAATCTGCATTTCTGAATACTTATCTGTGATTCTGCCCAAAGCTGGCTTTTGATGGTAAGTTTACACGCATTGAAAACACCCGATATTAACCCAAATCAATGCTTCTTTTAGAGTTTTACTCCGGGGAAGAAGATGAGTTCTAAAATAAAGGTGCTTAGGATTAAAAGCTTATCATACTTTGCCATATTTGATGAATATTCTCTCAGAGTATCATCAAATATTTTGGCATTTCGCGCGTGGCCTAATCACCAAACGGCATTCAGCATTTTTAAAAGAGTGTTTCTGCTAATGTTTTATCGTGAATTGTAAAACCCGAATACCAAACAAACAGTCAATACATAAATGATAGTCATTGACATTCTAAAACGCTTATTGAGAGCCCGTTTCTCCATCTATAACAATATGTCATTGAGATATTTCACTTTGATATATTTTTAATTTGTCCTGCTTCTTCCTTTTCTTTTGATACTCAATGAGTATTGATTGATCGCAGAGAAAGTTCTAAATCATTTACCAGCAAATATTAAGTGTATTCATAATCTCTCTATCCATATCTGCGATAATAAGGAAATGTTTTAAAGTGACCACAAAATTTATTACAGATAAGAATGAAAGGATTACACTAAATTAGCGATGTGGCAGGGATTTGAACCACTTCCCATGTGGTCAATACTTATGATGACTTATCCACTAGACCAAGACGACACCTCATTTTAGAATAGTCACCTTTATTTCTATGTTCATTTTGGGGGGCTTGTTTTTTAAAATAAAATTGTCCCTCCCCCCCCCAAAAAAAAAATGATCTCCAGCTCGTACCTCAACTCGTTCCTCTTTGAGGTCGACCTTGATGGCAAGTTCTTCCCTGAGCATGACGTCGGGGTAGTGTGTCTTCTCGAACGTCGCCTCGAGTTGTTCCAATTGCTCCTCGGTGAAGATGGTGCGATGTCGCCTCTTCCTCTTCTGGTTGCGGGCTAGTAGGTCCATATGAGGGTAGGCCGTGTAGGCATGGTAGGCAGCTGGAGATGGGAGGAATCAAATAATAGAATGGTCTTATTTTTTTTTCTTCTATTGTTATTGATAAGATTTATCTAAAATTGTCTGTCTTGTTGAAAAGAGTGACATCAAAGTTGTTGAAAAAGATTGCTATCAGAAGTTTCACTTTTGTTGTTAGAGACTGAAAGTTGTCTCTAGTGTTGTTGAAAAATATAAAAGTTTTGTAATTATATTTTGGAAAATATCGGTTTCAGTCATTGTATGAATTACTGGTATTAAAGTTTTCCATACTGCTGTAGAAAATATTGGTATCAAACTTGTCTCTTATCGTTGTTTAAGTTTTTTGTTTTAATTTTGGTTTGATTTTATTCTGCCCTTATAACTATTGTACCAATACACAATAGTAGGAAAGGAAAACATTGTATCAAGCACAAGATGTCTTGTATCTTCAGGAATCCTTCACCTGAGTTAGGCAACCATTGCCCGGTTTATTTTCGTGTATTTATTAATCTGTTCGCAAGTTGTATTATATATTGCATCTAACGGCAAATGGATATACATGTATGTTCAATAGTGAAGTTCGAAAGAGATGGATGGATGGAGGCGGCGCAGGTGAACTTGGTGTTGGTATGCATTTGGTTTATTAAGGGATAGGCAGCCAGTAATCTTATCAGTACAAGCAGACTAGCCTCTGCTACCATGATAATCAAATGAATTAAAGCATGATCGATGTTCCACTTCATCCATCACTGTCAGGGCTTTTAAAATTCTTATCCTGTCCCACAAGAAAGCAAAAGATATACTGCAGATATAACATGAGTGATGAAGATTAAACAAAGAGATGTGCCGTTATCTGGTTTATCCTACGATGAACTTGCACTTACGTTTATAGGCAGGGCTTTGAAACTTTGTTCCATCTACATATCAAACAGTTTTAAAGATGAATAATAGTAGAGTTTTTTTTAAACAGCAGAGTATTTGAATTTCAATTATATCCGGTTCCGTTCAGATTTTGTAGACTCATCGTCACTGAAGATAATACTTTTCAAATCCAAGAAAAGACTTTTATTTCCTACCTCCAGGGCCCATAACGTTTTTCCCCCTTATTCCTGAGTATGTTAAGTACTGTGTGATAATACATCGAATGAGTAACGGACTGGTAACGCCTTTTGTTATGTATGGGACTGGTACTTCATGACAGGTATTTTAGGCAGATTTGGATACAAAGGAATAACCTCTTAGACCGGTGATAATCGTCTAATTCTCTTGTCAGATTTGTTAAAAAATATCCGTTTTCCGTTCGGTCTTATCTGTAAATCTTCTTGTTGGAATTAGCTAATTCTAAAATGAGCTTTAAAGCTACTTTGTGCAGAATCTGAGATTTTAGCAAACGAAATCTGATTAGGCAAAGATTTAAAGTATCTTTTACTTTCTTTTTAAATGCTTCATTTTATTCTTCTTTATTTAGGATTCAAGAGGAAGGGGTGAAACAATTCAACACTGTGAGACATATCATATTCTCACAACAATTCAAAATAGTTTGATCTGAAGATTGTTCTTTTGTCCTTCAGATAGCTGATATAGCTCAAGATTTGTATCAAGTTAGTATGATCCTTTGAAAATGAAAATTATATTCATTGAAAATGATTGAAGATTATGATTAAAATATTTTCATCATTGATATTATGTCGGATCCTTCGAAGGCCCCACGCAGTCATAAAAAAACTGTTATATTAAAAAGAAACTATAAGAAGCCATAACGATAAACCTTGCACAATGCGCTAAGTTTCAATAACAGTTCTGATGGGAAAGAAAGGGTGAAACGATTACTTTCTTGAAGAATGAGAAGAAGAAGTAGAATTAGAATTAGGGGGTTATTAAGGCCCAAATCCTTTGAATAAAGAAAAAGGGGTAGATTTAGATCCATGGTTTTACGAGATTGGTTATTAAAAGCCAATGTGAGGTGATCATCTCCTTCAAAAAAGTTATTTCAATCGGATTAGGGTTCAGTTCAGTTGAAAAATGATCATCGCGACCTTTCCCTTTCTCGCCCCTCTCTCAATTCAACCACAAACACTTCCATCGCAGGACGTTGGCCTCTTGGCATACAAAACAGTGCGAGGTTTCACTACAATATCCATCACCTCAATTTATGAAATTGAGATTAACCCTTGTGACGTAATCCTATTCTTCACCTTACAAATTAACAAATTAGCCACAGTATTGGGTTATTGATTTGGAGAATGTGTTGTGGCTTTTGAAGCCCACTTTGACCAGGTCTAACCCCAGCAGGGCCACCTGACCATGTACCCTGTATCATACCACCAACAACGCACCCACAATAAACCAGCACTTTGTACCCGTCTTAAGAAGCTGTTTTTTGGTTAATGCCTTGAAGAAATAAAGGAGTGATTACGAGGGCCTTTTAACTGGTAATGATTGAATGGAAGGGGAAATTGGTTAAACCATGGTCCCTTTGAATTTGGTCTTTATGGCGTTGCATTCATCTCGATTCGATTTTCAATAAAGAAAATCGTTTTGGAGAGCTCTTTTCCCTGGTGTTAATCTCGACACGTTGTGAATCACGTCCAAGGCTTATCTCTCCATACAATATCATTGGCGATGGACACACACATCTCTCTCTGAATGACAACCAATTACATCCTCTCTGGTAAAACACTCAGAAGAAAAGTGATAAGATCCTACCTCATCCCTTAAAATACAAAACTGAGCTTGATAACGACCCAACACACCTGTTTCTTTTGTCGCGATTAGATTCGTACTGGGACAACGGAATGTTAAAACCATCCACATTCATCAAGTCTATACCAGGTCATTTCTAGTCGTCCGTTGACCTCGCGAAAGATGAGAAAAAAATTATCTATTTTTGTTCGTGAAGATTTAGTATTTAAAAGTTCGATCAATTTATTGACTTGTTGCTCTTAAAGGTACTGTGTCCCTTTTGCAGCCAACCTCAAATTCTGTAGAACTTTGCAGGAATTATGAATATGTCATGTATGTCCTATCTGTGAAATTTAAACGTTAGCAGTGTCCTCATATTCAAATTATGCAGGAAACCCGTTTACTTGCTAGACTTCACTGTCAGGCACTATTGAGTAGCTGACTGGCTTTTTTTTCTTTTTTGGTAATAACATACATGAAAAGAGTTGTAAAGGGTACATGAGCATTTGTCTACATCAATAACCCACTTCTTGTGATGGCCAATATTAAACTGATTGAATCTTTGCGCAGCATAAAACGTATGACCATTCGGTACAATTGTCTGAAAATCAAGGCGATTACTTTTGGGCTCTATAGCCCTAAAGTCGATTTGACAACTAATAGTCATTATTTTCCCACTTGAAGACTTTTTCAAGCCCCACCTTTTTTAGGGAAGTTCTAAATAAGTATTATCTTTCAAATGCAGTTGGAATTTAACTTTTTATTTTTTTGGCCTGCAAATGGGACATAGTACCTTTAACTGCATCAGCAATGGTGGTATTTTCTCACTTCTATATTTGGTCAAGGATCTCCTTGATTTGGTGTTTTTAACTGACTGCATTGGCATCATTTCCTGGATTATGTATTATTTTAACCGCCATAAAAAAAAATATTGAAGTACACATCGGTCGTGGATAACATTTCTTGAAACGAAAACCATCATTTAACAAGTTGACTTATTCCCTGCTTGTTTTATCAATTTAATCTAGTAATCATCGAGAGAATAAAAAGTTATAGCACTCTGAAAATTGCGAAATTGTTAACAAAAAAAAGATAGGCTCTTCCTTTTTTCAAAGAAGGATAATTTGAGCAATTTAATAATTATCTGAAGCTAACCCGCTTGCCTCTTTCCTGACTAAAATGACCATGAAAATTCATATTCTATATCTCTGTATAGACCCTCTTTTTATATATCAAAATGTCTTTCTTATGGTTCCAAATTTTGTTGCAAAATCAAATCTCAAATATGAAGAAAAACCTGTCATAAAGATCTTATAAAGTACATTATAGGCCTACAAGTAATTTCAAAATGCCAAACGCATATTTAATATGAGGGCGATTTTATTAATTGGGTCTTTTTATAGGTCTTAACTCAAATCCCTCTAGAGCTTTTATGTTTTGGAAGTTTTACAAAAAGCATACCGATGTGTTGTATCTTTTTCAAGATGTGAAGTGTTGATACAGCATCTTTCTTTCTATTTCAATGTGGTATAGCCCACTTAAAAATTACTTTCCTGGGAGAAATAAACTCAACTATGCAGATATTCTTAATCGCCATGATTATCATTCATACTTTCGCACGAGTATTTTGTTTTTAGAGGGAGGTGGGTGTTATTGTTTTAATGGGACTGTGATTATATCAAATGCAAAAAACATTTGAGCCCGTCATAATATATGATTTATAATTATTACGAGTTATTCATGTTTTATTGATTGGTAATTTCATGGATTGGTAAAAGTCGGATTTGTAAAATAAATTCCAACAGTAAGACAAATAATGTAAACAAATTAAGCAAATTACTTGAGAATCCATATAAACATTTTGCGAAACTGGAAATGGGTTGCGGTGAAGAAGAAATATGCTTTCACAAACAAAACGATAATTATCATTGTCCTGCACATAATTAGCAACTTTAAAAAGATGTTGCTTAATATTATCGAGGAGTGCTATTTTTTTAGTGTTATCTTTTTCTGTATAAGTCTCATTACTAGCATCTAGAAAGAAATTTAAAAAAAGATTCATCACTGAGCCACTATGTCTTGTACGTATTTACAATTTATTTTAAAATGGTGGTGAATTTCCAACAAAAGAACTTGAGGAAACAAATAGGCGTGCCTAGCTGTTGTAAATAATTTTACTATACATTATCTTCCTCAGCATAAATTGGGACATATCGACGGTTAATGGAAAAAGAAAATTATGAAGTTCTAATTTATTTTGAATCCTATGAACAAATTAATTACAACGATGCGTATATACTAGCTTTCAAGACTTCCTCGAATTCTCAAAAACGCGTGACAAATCCATGAATCGACAGGTCAGTCTTTTGTTTTAATTGTTTAATTATAAAAGAAGCCCGCCTTCTTTTCCGCGTTCTTGATTGTGGCTCAAGCAATGACAGGGAAATAGATGATGTGATCGTTTCTTTCCTGTTCTGAACCCGCTTGAAACGTAGAATGTTTAAAGGAAAGTATTACATGTATAAATTATGTCCGTCTTTAAGGCTAACAAATTGTAGCATTGACTAATGAATTTCGTGTCTCCACGATTTGTGTTTTAAACAGTACAAATTTGTGTGATGGGAAAATGTATGCAATGATACTTGATGTTTGATTACAATAACATAGGCATATCACTATGTATATTAATCTTATACATTCATAGCAGTCGGAATTATGAGTAAGGAGTGAATATTTGTGGATATGGAATGTGGACTCTAGACTGTTAAATTTATAATTATAGTTGAAAAGAGAGAAAACTATATAACAGATGAAAGATAACTTAACATATTGTTAAAAGGTAATATCACAGCTTGTTGCTGTGAAACAACGTAAACGGGACTTGAAAAGAACAAACTAAATGAAAAATATAGAAACGATCATTTTTTTTTAAATCTTCACATATTTGTTGAGCTTAATGTGCTGTGAGTTTTCGTTAAAATTATTAATAAAGATAGGCATAAACATGAAAGATCTTGAAATGAAATTTGTTTTAAGATAAGAACTCACCTAAGTGATACTCAGGATGGAGCAGCGGGAAGTGAGGATGAGGGGCGAGCGGTAGATAGGGAGCGTGTCGCGGACCGGGCATGGCCGGGTAGGGACGAGGCGCCAAAATATTATCGATGGTAAACGATGGGGAAGTCATTCCCGTCATCGGGCAGCCAGTGTAGGGGTTGTAATAGGCCGCCATGGCCGGGGAGATGTGCGAGGCAGAGAACCCCAACTTGGCTGACGAGGAGGAAGAAGTCGGAGTCGCCGGTGGAGACGATGTCGTCGATGAGGGGCTGTGGACGGGACGAGGCAGACTGCCCGCGAGAATCGATGCGGCATTCATGGAGAGGCGGCTCGGGGCGACGTCGGGGAGATAATAGTCCATCACCAAGAAACAGAGAGCTGACCACTATGAAATAATAAATATCCAACTCTGAAGAGTTCTATTTATGGCATCAACTCGTCGTCTCTTGACCAGCGAGATGTACTTAGATGAGAGAAGGAGGAGCTCGAGGGATTGAGAAGAGTGAGAGAGAGAATTCTATGGACGTGCGCGCGTGCTGCTACCTGGTTGGGTTCTGTCTCGGCTCGCTGCAGCTTCTAGCTGTTGTTAAAAAACCACCAGTTACCTCTTAATCTCCAACCAGTAGCTACCAATAGACATCCATTCAACGGCTTTAGAACGTTTGTCCACTCAAACCTATTGTCCACTCACCCATCTGCAGGGCTAATTTTTACATAACGGCCCGGTCCTATTGTGACCCGTTACTGCTCGCTTAATTGCCGTGTAATAGATTTAAGGCTGGCCACTCATCAATCCCGCTGAGATTCTAATGAAAAGTCATGAAAGACACTAATCATAAGTATTCATGTAAGAATACAAGAGATTATGAATAACTCTTGTCTAATATCGACTTTAAATTAGCGCGACTAAGTGCGGCATTAAAGTCATTTGATGCAACTATCTTTTAATTTGCCCACACTTGGACTTAAATTAGATGGTCTAGAAGATCAAAATCCACTGAGCTTGGATCAGACTTTCTACTTTCAGTTAAAAGATAGCAAGGAGTGTGACATCAAAAAATAATAATAAAGCGCAAAAGACAACAAAAGAGTGTTGTGTGAAGAAAAAAACTCATCATGTCAACTTAAAGAATGCTGTCAATCAACTTAATAAAGCCTACGGAGATCATGGCCCCAATTTCGCCAAGGAGTGTGGGGGGGGGGGGGGAGGGGGCGCTGACGTCTTTACCCGAATGGACTTTTCCAATTTATACATTTTGCCAGAGAGCGAGTGAGCAGACATTTTGGTTCATTTCTTTATGATATAAATGTAAATTTGTCGTTAAAAACATACTGGGCAACGAAAGTCATCCTCCGTCCTGTATACGAGGTATTGGTTGCCAAAAAATGACATGGCGTTGCCTGGATAGTGGTAAATTAATATTTGTCGGTACAGCCCCATCTCTTACACCTTTGGTTATTTACATGCAATCATCTTCATATATATATATATATATATATATATATATATATATTATATATATATATTGGATGAGGCAGACTAATGGAACATGGTTGCAACTCCGAGTTTCACGCCTTGCGAGCGATCATCAGGCACTGTACGAAGGAATAGACCAAATCTAAGAATTATATATATATATATATATATATATATATATATATATATAAATAAATTTTTAAACATTGCTGAAGAACAATTATTACAAACAACGGGTAAAATAAAGGACCAATAAAATTATGTGCAACAACATTGAATTGAATTTGTGTTTCACTTTTTTCATGAAAAAACAATAAAAGCACATTAAAAGATTTCATACAACAATTACTTAGAAAACACAGCGACGGACAAAAACTATTTATGCTTATAGATAGATGATCCTATGATAAATTGGTAAAAGAATAATAAAATGAAGACCTATGAGAAGAAAGTAGAAATAATTAGAGAGGAGGACTTTTTAATTACTTCATAACAACATATTATACTTAGTGCATGTATCTTTGCTGTAATCCAATATCTAATTAAAATTTATTCGAAGCGAGGACATCTCTCTTGTATGGTATCACTGGATTAAATTGTTTGTTTCAGTTCCATTGCTCTTCCCTTGGTTCTCTGTCATCCTATGATAATTATGAAGAAGCAAATCAGATCACGTGCACAGGACAATTATGATTTTAATAATGATGAGTAATAATGAGTTGTTGACATGTTTTAACGTGTTTCGTTTTGGGCCGTAGTGGTCTTTCTTTCCGTCTTTCTGTGTACACATCCTTCATTAAGCAATAAGCATAGAGCTTATAGCTTAGCAATATGCAATAATGTTTAACATAACATACAACATAATTAACGATGAATATAACAATAAATAGACAAGACAAAATGATATCCATAAGATGTTTTACAGTGAAACTAGTCTTATCAGGTGGACAAATAACAAAAGAACAATTGGATTTTACAAAGAGCGATTCATCGTATTATCGTCTTTCTTCCTTCTGTTTTTTCCTTTTTCTCTCCCTCATCTCTCCCATACCATTCTCTCTTCACTCTTTGTGTCTCTCTCTATGTCTCTCTCTCTCTATCTTTCTCTCTCTTTCTATCTCTCTCTCTCTCTCTCTCTCTGTTCCCCCCTCAAATTTGTTGAAAATCCCCTTCATCTAATCTATACAAAAAACATCTCCTCCAACGAAAGAAGTATCTGGAAGTTACATTCAAGCTCAGGGAAATCTTAGAAACGCGATTTAAGCATTCTACAAAAATCATTTCAAACCGTCAAAAGTTCCTTCAATTCATGATAATTAAAGTGACCTTGAAGGTGTTTCCATAAATATGGCGTTATTTGTCTACTGCAATCCAAAGACATATAAATACAAGTAAATGCCTTTACAGGAAAGTACTAAACTATAAAAAATTAAAAAAAAAACATTTAAAAAAATATTATCGAATGATACGATATAAATTCCAATCCAATTCACAAAGTATCGTTAGTTTAGGCTATTATTAATAGTTGACATAATCTATATTTTTGGGTTTTCAATTCTAATGTTCAGCCCATTTATTTTCAATTTAATTATACTTCACCGCCCACACGATATTATAGGATAAAGTAAACATCTATTTTATCATTTAATTAATTAATTTAATAATAACTAATTTTGTCCTTCTCATGAATCCCCACTGAAAATGAAATATAAGAAGGATTCTAATTAAGTTTTTTTTTCTTTTTCTAAAGATTTTTTTTCTTTTTCTCTCAAATCAAATGCATGTTGTACAAATCATTCTTAACAAAACTGGATACATTGTACATTGACATTTTGGATTAAACATAAATTGCAATAATGGAAAGAAAACAAAAGTACATTTTCATAAATTGTTTTTAAACCTTTTTATATATTATGATCAAGAATATTAAAGTAAACATGGGATAAATTGTTCGTCTATTCTCCCATTCTCTCCCCCGTTAAACATACTCTCAACATATTATTTGCCATATCTGTCATTATGAAACACAAACACACACACCCACGCACCCTCACACGCGCACACATATTAGGTGCGTTAGTGAGAGTGCGTTTGTGTGTGTATGTGTGTGTGGGTGTGTGGGTGTCTGCGTGCGTGTATGCTCTTGTATGCTTGTATGTATGTATGACAAAATTGGAAAAAAAATATAAGAAAAACATTATTACAATCTGTTTGTTATTTGGGGAAGGCTGACCTGTCGAAAATCCATTGAGAAAATTATACTGTGTAAAGGCCCCAAAGTGTTGGAATTTAACGGTATTTAATAGACATGTTGAGTATTAAAATTCATATCTAAAAATTGAGGTGAAATATAACGATAATTTTAATAATGATAACAATAATGATAATAATGATAATAATAATAATAACAGTAGTAATAATAATAATACTCGTAGTGAGTTCTTGTAAAGCGCTCATGTCTGTCAGACTTGACACTCCTTGCGCTTTACAATATTATTATCCCGCCTTAAGCCCGGCTGCCATTATGCCGCTTTATCATTTAAAGGAATTAATTTCTGCCAAGAAATAAATGAATAAATTGGATAAACACTGATGAAAAAAAGTGTAATGTGATGACTATATAAGACTTTTTACTCCTAGCAAACCATTCCAAATTTGTTTTTAAACGCATGGCAAGTTTCGTCATTGTATGGTATAGGTTGAATGAATACTCCAGCCCCTCTCTCGAACCTACTCCCCTTTTAGCGGAAATAGAAGAGTGATAATCGCTAACTGTATTTGGTAAACGCAAATAAACAAAGTACTCTACTTTTAAACCAATTTGCAATCTGTTTGTTCATTACAAAAAGTAGTAGCAAAAGACAGAAAATCCTATATATTCATTTGAAGGTCTACCGTAGGGGAGGTATTCTCGTCAGAACAATAACGCGATAGTTGAGGACCAGAAGGCTTAACAGTTTGAACGACTTTCCCTTTTTGTCCTTCTTTTGTTTCGCTGAATCAGCTCATGTTCACCTTTTCGTCCTTTTGAAGGTGTTTTTTAGGAGTGACGGTGGTATCCTTATGTACAGTAGAGATTACACAATTAGAGGATGAGCTTGCCTCGTTCCTCACAAGTTTCCATCTTTCTAAAAGATTCTAAAAGAGCAGCAATCTTAGCAACAACTTAAAAATGTTACCTACCGCGAAAGAATAGGGCCTAATGAGCGAGATGATAATAGTTTTTGATTGCTCTAAATTAATTTACCTGCAAGTACGTTGTTGGATTTGAGTTAAGGAGGGGAGAGGGGAATCGGTAGCAATAATGGGTACTTGGGATTAAAAGTATAGAAAGAATAAACAGGTGGGACATGAAACTATAAACCAGCTATACCCGTGCAAAATTAATTAAGCTACGTTCTTAAATTTGTCTTTCTGCTAAATTTTCCTTCTTTAATGACTTTTCTCTCATAATACTGGTTCGCCTGTATTTCCAATGTGAAGGCATTGGTAATAAGTAGACTTAAAGAATTTGATTAATAAAAATGTTTCCATATACTTGTATTTTATTGAAATTATTTTAGTTCATAGTTAATGTTTCCCTTATTCATGTTTAATTTAATGTAATTTATACGAAGTAGTGAAATATCCTAATAACTGGCAATATATATTTGTAGTATTTTCGAAATGAATTGCATATAACTAAATCATCAGTAATTAAGAAATATGCTGTAAAATCAGGTAAATTGTTAAAAAAAATATAGATCTGCACGCACCCCATATTCAATATGCAAATTAACTGGTGTCCATTGGTTTAACTGGAAATATGCCCACGGACCAGTTTTCAACTGGTGCTACTGGTAATATGCCAACAGTCAGTTATCAACTGGTACAAATGGAAATATGCCAACAGTCACGGGATTATCACCACGGAACTTAAATGGTAACTGTGAAACCATCAAGACACCCAAGAATAACTCATTTTTCACACCTAAACAATCACAGATTCACACCTAAGATTAATA